GAGGCGCGGCCACCCCGCTAGGCCGGCCCTACCTCTTCGTGCCTCCTCCACGAGGCGCCGCCGCCGCCCGCCCGCGGAGGGTGTGTTGGCTTTTAAAACGTCTGAAGTTTTTTACTCAGGTAATTTTAACTTAAGAAATTAAACAAACTGGAGCGCGAGCTGGAAGCAGGAGCCTTAACTTGGTCGGGACCAAGCGCCGTCCACCCCGCGGAGTCGGCGCCCCGCCCAGTGCCAGCCCGTGCCGTGTCCATGCGGGGCCTCCCGGCCATTGCGCGGGCACCCGAATGGGAATAAAGCCCGAGGGCAGCTGCGGCAAGTGGCACCCTGGAGGGACAGGGCCCGCCGGCCCACCTCCCCGGCGCCCCGTGCCGGAGCCGCCAGCCCTAGGCCACCCCATTCGGGATGCGGCCCCGGTGCAAGGCCACTGCTGGTGGCTAGCTGCATGTCGGGAGGCCCGGCCGCCAGGGGAGGGCTGACGCGCTAAGGGGGCACCTGCCGCAGCCTGCAGGGCCCAGACACCCTGCGGTGCGGAGTTGGCTCGCTGGCCAGTCAGATAGGCTGCCCTGCCCCCTTCCAGCGCAGCTGCAGTGGGGCGCGGAGGCTGCCCCCTGCTGGCCATGGCCGGGAGTGGGCGCCCGCCTGGCCCTTAGCCAGGGAAAGCTGGGAGACCCCTCACGTCCACCCTTGCAGGAACCGGCAGGGAGCCACCACACAGGGCCTCCCTGGCCGCCGGGCGCTGGCAGGGCGCAGCAGACCCCTGCTGCCCCCTCAGCAGTGTGTTTCAGTGGGCCCACCTGTATACAGCCCCCCACTCTGTCTCTGGGGAGTCCACTCTCCTCCCCCCAAATCTCTGGCCTGCGTCCTAACTCTTGTGTGCATAAGTCTAAAAAGGCGGCCGCACCCACCACGGCCCACTCCCCGCCGCCGCCTGTATTGCATCAGCCTGATGGGCAGCAGCATGGGCGTTGCTGCCCAAATGCCCGTGTCAAGGCTGGCCTGCTGCGCGGCCAGCCCAGACGGCCAGGCACCCCTTGCCCGCAGGGTGGGGTGGAGGCCCTCGCTGCCCTGGCACATGCCAGCCACAGTGGGCCTGGGGGTGGCCAGGACAGAACCCGGGGGACCCAGCAGGCAGCTCCACGCCCCGAGGGGCCGGGCCTCCCCGCCGCCCCCGGCCGCGGCAGATAGTAGGGCTGCAGGCTCCGGGTCCCCGCGGGCGCGGGCTTAGGAGAGAGGCGGCCTCCGGCAGGGACGGCAGACGCCAGGTGGGCGCGGGGCGGGCCCGCTTTCCGCTCGGGGCGGGCCCATTTCCGCTCGGGGCAGGTCCGCTTCCGCTCGGGGCGGGCCCGTTTCCGCTCGGGGCGGGCCCGCTTCCGGCGCAGGGGGGGTGGGAGTAGGCCGCCGCCGCGGATGGCCGCCTTCAGGACCGCGCTCGGGACCTCGCTCACCGTAGCCCG